TTTTTTTTTCAATTTACCTAATGTTCAAATGTCTGCAGCCACATGATCACGCTGGTTCCTCGCTCTCGGATTTTTCTATCCTGAAGATGGAGGCGATACATTCCTCCGAAACGTCGGCTTACACAATATCTACATGGTGACACATCCCAGAAGACGGCATTCTTCATAGTCACCGCCGTGAAACCCTCAGTTCTTACATACACACTGTAGTTTATACGAGCTCTCAGTATGGCGTCCAGTGGTGAGATGAATTGGAAAGGATTTGACAGGAAGTGGTCATGGATATCCCAGAAATTGCATGAAGGGACTGAGGAAAACGACGAAGACCCTCAGTCAGGGTAGCCGGTGTCCGTGATTCGAAACGAACAGGAGTTCAGAGCGTCACCCTACGCTTGCCCGCTCGGTTTTTGCTGGCAACATAATGGATCAATTTATTTCAATGTTTATTCGCAGTTTGTAGGTCTATATCCGGCCCAGCGTGTGAGAATGAAGATTCCCGTGTCTTCATGAGAGCAAACATGACTTGACAGCGGCTATTTTTATACGCTGAGCGGCGAATTGCGCGCCGGGCACATCCTCGCAATGCATATACAAACTGACAGGCTCGCTTTTGTTCTGTATTTCTATCGCTTCGGATTGCAGTCATGTAAAGTTGAAGAGTTTTTACTTTCTCATGCGAGGAACAACAGGAACTGGTGATAGTAAAAACAGTTCTGACTGATTCGTATGTTTTCAGCCCCCTGAACACGAAAAACTATTTTTTAATGTCATCTTGTAGCACGAGGTAGCGTAGTTGGTTGAGGCACTGTGCTACAAGCCGGAAGATCGCGGGTTCGATTCCCTATGAGGTGGATTTTTTTCAATTGACCTAATCCTTCCAGCCACACTATGGCCCAGGGGTCCACTCCCCGAATATATCATCATAACTTGGTGCTTAATTAAACACAGGACAGCAATACACATAAAAGGTAAAGGTATCCCTGTAACAGGCGGTGGAAGCCCATAGAGTCTTGAGACGTCGAGGCTCCCATATTTCCTAAACAATCGGCTCATAGATGGAGGTGAGGTTGTGAACCTTACGCTCCGGCCTCTCGTAACTCCCAGGAAGATTCCTGGTACTCATTTCTGTTACAAACTGAGTCGACCCCAGGGCCATAGTGCGGCTGGAAGGATTAGGTAACTTGGTAAATGCAATGGCCTCGTCGGGAATCATACCCGCGACCTTCCGGCTTGCAGAATAGTTCCTGAACCAACTACGCTACCGCGTGGCCCCCAACATTGCACGCTTGTTTACGTTTATATATATATAAGTGTTAAGTTTAAATTACTTTGAATAGTTTGTACTGATGTGCTGTTCGTCTTTCCCATCAGGTCCCTGCAGAACTGTGGCCTGAGAGACGTTCCCGCCCACACGCTGCACTCCCTACATCGCCTCACGTCCCTGTAAGTAAGAGATCTTATTGTCTGTCTCAAACATATCGGAGGTGACGTCATACGTTGTGTAGGCAACCTTACGGAAGAAAAGTCCTTATGTTCAACAGGATTTTCTGTATTACTGTTTTGAAGGGTTCTCTCTTCTGGGATATAACACCGTGTAGTCCTTTGAAAGTCAACCGACGTTTTGAAAGAAAATTTGTCTTACATCTTAAGGGTTGAAGAATAATCCAAATAAGAAACCAGCATGGAGCAGGTATCGAACAGAGCTTGATTTTCAACAGATAGAGCTCATAGTCTACATGGCGATTTTGTTTCTCATCTTAAGTTGAAAAAAGAATCTAGTAACTTACCCATTGGCCGCGCCATAGCACAAGCAGTTAGTCGGTGGCTTCCCGATCCCGAGTTTGGTCACATGGGATTTGTGGTGGACAAATTGGCGCTGGGGCAGGTTTTCTCCGAGTACTTCGGTTTCCCCTGCCCATTTTCGTTCCACCAATTGCTCCACAATCACCCTCACGTATCATCTGGGGCTGGTACAATAGGCCAGAAGTGGCCGCAGTACAAGGGACTTAGTCCCACCCCACTAGCAATAAAAAAAAACTTCCCAATGGTGACGTAACGAGCTACGTCACTGCCTGATGGTTACGCACCGTCACAATGTTTCGGACACTGTAGCATCCTCTGTAACATAGCATTTTAACGTCCATCCTGAATAACACTACAGATTGAATGTTGCGGGTTGTAGACTGAGAGGTGCATGCTGAAGAACATGTGTCCTATTGTTTCTACTGCAGAATTCTGTACACCTCGAGAACAGTTGCAAAACCCGCGCCTGTAAAACTGCTTAACAAAGAGCTCCATATTCCCCTCGCCGAATATTATTAAAGTGATCAAATCATGCAGGATGGGATGAGAATGTAGCACGCGTGCAGAATGTGGATGCTCCCATAGCCGTCAGACAGTAAAATGAGGTCATGAGTCGGCGGGTGGGAGTCGGAACCAAGAATAGCTGTACTGGCGAGGACCAGCAGAAATTTACTTCTCAACCAGGTGGAGCATCAGAAGGAGAAAGATTACTTGGGAGTCCTAATTGTAGATGAGAACGCATCTGAAGAATACCATCTTCTGGGATGTGGCGCCGTGTTAAACTTGTTTGAACCGACGTTTCGGAGGAACATATTACATCCATCTTCAGGGTAGAAAAATCCTCTGCTCACGCTGGTTCCTCGCTCGCGGATTTTCTACCTTGAAGATGGAGGTGATACGTTCCTCCGAAACGTCGGTTCACACAAGATCTACATGGCGCCACAGCCCAGAAGATGGCATTCTTCATAGTCACCGCCGTAAAAAAAGAAGTCAAATCTTACGAGAAAACATCTGTCTCAGCTTAGAGACTTGCGGGAGGCTGCCATTGAACCCGTAATGGACTGTCTGGGCTCGTCAAACGCTACGAGTTTCATGACTAGATGAACAATTGTTAGCTTCTCCATGACTCTACTAAGGTACAGGGTCGCTTGATTTGCTGTGCAGTAGACAGGATATGAAAGTTCTGATAGACTTCTGAATATATACGTGTAGATCTCTAGGCTTGAACGTGTAAGGAGATGAATTGTCTTGGTATATTTAAATGCTATGGTCTGTCCGAAATATCTTTCGAGTTACGTCGCACCTTGAGCAGCCAACCTTTCGGAAGAAAACTCCCATGTTCTCAACATCTCTCCTAGGCTCGTGACTCTTCTGGTTCCAATCGCATTTTGAAAACAGAACCTACTAATTTTCCACCGAACTGACAGGTGTAGTGGTCCTCTGGACTCGTATTCGCGAGTCTCTTAGATCAAATCTCAACCGAGACACCGGGTCTCCTGTCCTGTTTTCTTGAAATTCCTCAGTCCCTCTAAGTGCCGGGATAGTACCACGACTGCTTCCAAATTATTTCCAATTCATCCATCATCCTTCCATTCGGCGCATATTTGCTCAAAGCAAGAACTGTGAAGCCAGAGAAACAGCCATTGCTAGTAAACGGCTCTGAAACAACATTCGTTTCCGCGGAAACGGATACACATAAAACAAGAGTGCTTCTGTTGGAAACGGTGTTTTGTACGGTAGTCCGTGTCGAGGAGTTATAAGGAAGACGATTGAGGCAACCGAGTCAGTTCTGTACGGGAAAGAGGAAGTTCGGAGGGAGCCGCAGTTCAGAGAGGACTTGAGCGCGTGAAGGTGAAGAATCTCCACTGTTGGAAGCCGTTGCCAGGGAACAGCTGGTGAAGACACAGCAGGTTGGAAAAGACTTAGCGGATGCTGTGGTGATTAGCGATGGCGCTGTAAATGTTTGTAGTTCCGAGTCGTGTGTATAAGTGCTCAGTAAATCCAATATCCAATCCAAAACCCCATCGAGGGTGACTCATGCACGTGACAATATAACCTAGCCACTGACAGCATTAATTTTCTAATTCTATGTAATGATCTATGTTAATATGTGAAGATGGCGCATCTTCGTAGATGGTCTGGACATAGTATAGGTACACTTGACGAGAATGGCCCGGGCCTCTGTGCACCGTAGAAGTGTCTTGTTGGAGACATCGTAGCTTGTCATTTCTAGCTCTAAAAAATAAAGGATTCCCATTTATCTGTTGTTATTTTTCAGCTCATACTTCGCTGACATTTCATCACAGATTGTAATTCCACCCCCCACTTCCCCATCCCTCTTTTTCTTTCGCCATTCTCCCTGTTACTTACACTTTACTTCGCTACATGTCTCCCAGAACACTGCGTCATTCACTGGCAGGAACTAGCCAAGTTCTCTCTGTGTTGCGCACCTCTCTCGTCGCTGTTCTAACCGCTTCAGAGCTCGACGCGCTTCGCAGTTGCCATGTTTTGATTCCGAACGGGAAAATGGCGGCACAATAGAAGCCTTTTCGGACAAATTCGTGTACTTTTGCGGCCACTCAGTCTAACAATAGGCATAAAGAAACTGAGAAATCTGTCACGTAGCAGAACGTAACTTCCTGAGCATGTGGACTGGGGGACAGACGTTATGGCATTTAGGCTGCGTCATACCCGGCCATATTGCGTCTCATTTTTTTCTTCTTATTCTTACCGATCGTTAGTCTGTATCCATTCTGTTCTTGTATTTTGCGGGTCTCAGGATCATATCTCGGAAACCAACTATCCCACCTGAATTTCTCCGTAATGTAGGCCGTACATCTGCATGCGTCAAGACATATCTGCGACATGACGCTAAGAAAGGAGCACAGTTGAAACGAATGAGATTATGAAAACCGCCGCACACCGGTCTGAGTCATGTTGCTGACGAATCACGAATGAAGCAAAATTGCGTCCTCTGTCTCGTGTCTTGATGCTTGTCTTGACGCAGTTGGTGTGCGACCGCTCTTATTTTCTCTGTACCTCCGGGATAGCTCAGTAAGAACATTGGCTAGGCTACGGGTTGTAGGCCCTAGGAATCGGGCTTCGATTCTCGGCAGCGTGAGATGTCGAGACCGGCCGTATTTCTTTCTCGCCTTCTCGGCCTACCCTTCCACCCTGAAAATGGAGGCAGTATTTCCCTCCGACACGTCGGCAAATTTCTACCAGACTACACGGCGTTACATCCCAGATGTAACTACTCTTCACAGAATTTTATTACAGAAGAAGACGTAATTAGTAAGCTTCGAGGTTGTCGTTACGGTGAAAATGTCTTGTGGGATGTGACGCCGTGTAGTCTGGTAGATATTAAGTCTGCTTATCAATTTTCAGAACAGAGGCAGCAAGTTCTTCCGAAATAAATATCTACCAAACTACACGACGTCACGTCCTAGTAGAAGACAGTGACTTTCGTGACATACTTTAAAATGACGACAAATATGGATGTTGTTTTCGTTCATACTCGACTGATGCATTTCCACAGACTTTGCGTCTGTTCTATCTTTCCCAGTTTTTATTTGGAAACTTGTGGAACTTTGTTATAGTTTCTTCTATAACTGAAATATCCACGTCACAGTGTTTTTGTTCCAAAAGTTCTGCGTACTTGCGAACTGGGTTAAAGTGATAACGAGTTGGTGGGATAAGACAGCCCTGATTATCTGACTGTGAACTGGAATGCCCCTAATACATAGGGCGAGCCTGCCCATTGTCGTGACCCACTCTGTTCCGTGATACGGCCGACTAAATTCGCCACGAAACTAGGTGTACCTTGTAGGCTCGCTACCTAGTGCGCCCGCTATGCTGAGTGAGGTTTTTAGTGGTCTTCCTTACTCTTTTCAGTCATACCGGGACAATACCTCAAATTAAGTCACGACCATCTCCTTCCAAATACTTTCCTATTCAGTATTCATCTGTCATTCTACCATTCGACGCCATAGACACTGAGTGAAAGCAAATTAAATGTAGACCTACAATTTGTTAGCACTACTCCATGTATGCTCATAATATACATGTAGTTTAATGTTATCCTCCAGTTTGTACAAATATATTCCTAGTGGCTCCCCTCAGTTCGGGTTTCCTGTCAAAAATCTTGTATGCATTTTTTACAACGCCCATATGCCGGACGCCTTCCATAGTCCCTCATCTCATGCTCTTTGGCTTGATTGTATCGGGAAAATTTGGCGAAGGGAACAGGGTATTGGTAGTGTAGTTTGTTGAGGCACTACGGTACAAGCCGGAAGGTCGCGGGTTCGATTCCCGATGAGGTCATTCGATCTACAATTGACCTAATCCTTCCAGTCGCAGTACGGCCCTGATGTCGACTCAACCTCTAACAGAAATGAGTGCCTGGGATGTTACTGGTGCTAAAGGGCGGCCAGCGCGTGAGGTTAACAGTCTCACCGCCATCTGTGAACAGATTGTCCAGAAAATGTGGGAGCCTCGGCGTCTCACAGTCGTGTCAGCCTCCACAGCTTGTCGCAGGGATACCTTTACTTTTTTTATTGTTTCCTAATGTAATTCAGTTCAGTTCCTTTATTGAAGTGCTTGCTAACAGCGAGTGGCCTATAACAGGCGAGCATTGAAATTGTAAAAATAATAATAATAATCTAGAGGTAGCTTTTCACGGTAGAGGTCGATACTGTAATACCGACTGAATCATTGTCGTTGATTGATGTCATCGTCTGGTTCTGTCATAAGTAACTGAGATTAATTGTTTCAATGGAAATAATGTTTACATGACGCGGAAGATGTCTTGTGGTGCGAACACTTCTCGGGAAAGAGTGTGATATCCGTGTGAGGGCAACAGTGACGTCAGGGCCCTTACGTGACACATTGTATTCGTTCGGCTGGACACAGTCATCCCCCGACACCAGCCCCTTCTGTGTACGTTGTCGGGCCCAGAGATTCTGGCGTCCAGCACAAGAAGTGAGCCGGGGGGGGGGACACGGCCCCCGGCTTGCTTTATTGGCTCTAGTCTCTCTTGTTCATTCTCAGCCTGACACCGTCGTCAGCAGCAAGGAGTATAGAGCGTCAAACGATAAGATGTTTAGTGAATAATGCATTGCGAAGGATGAGGAAGGAGACGGGATGATTATTGAATAATGCATGGCAGAGGATGAGGAAGGAGACGGGATGATTATTGAATAGTGGCTAGGAAAGGATGAAGGTAGTAGGATTATTACTAAACACTGGAATTATAAAATTACTTTGAATGAACACGGTGCTCAGTGAATTGGATGTATTGCACGCCTCACACTATGTTTGAAATATCCTTTTTAGTATTACCCTTCCCTCCCACGTGGTTTCTTTGTTTCAGGTATCTCCGCTAGAATTTTATGTCCCTTTTTGAGCTCTCCCAGTGCGTGCTACATGTGCTGAAAATCTCATTCTTTTTTAATTTATTACTGTAATAATATTTTGTGAACAATACGAATTATGAAGTTCCTGATTATGTAATTTTCTAGGTCCTCTAATTGCTCCCACCTCTTAGGTTCAAATATTCTCCCGTTTCCAAAAATCCTCTTGAGTCTAGCGTGATATGTGGATTTCTCTGTATAAGAAAATTACATGAATTAGTATTGATATTTTTTGCGTCTGTCTCAGTGCCACGCCGAACTAGAATTGATTCGCTTGAGACGGGAGCATCGCCAGTTGAAAGAATTTAATATCTTCAGCCCCCGTCGCTGTCTGCAACTTGTGCAACACGACGCAAGATACAAAGCATACGATTCTGATTGTTTAGATCGTACATTAATTCTCTCGTCTTTCAAAGCAGATATTTCAGAGGAGAGAAAATTCTCGTAAACGTTTTTTCGAACAAAGGAATAGCTCCGCTTAGAGCTCTTAATGGCCTGCTGTGTTTGTACTTTCCGTAATCCAGTGTGTGACGTAAGATCACGTGGCCTCTCTGGTTCCGTAAGACGGCATGGAAAGAAATATTGTTTTATCTTCATGTTCCCTGTCTCACTGTTCTCCTTTTTCTGTCTCTTCCTTCAGTCTCATTTGCTCCTTCTATTCGCCCTTTATCCTTTTTCGCGCCTCTCTTCATCGTCTTTTTGGCCACCGCTTCCATTCTTTCTTTCTTCTCCATTTTTGCTTTGTACTCGTATTTATGTTATTCTCTTCCTGTTCCCTCTTCCATCTTCTGATCCTTATTCCAGCCAGCACAATATTCAAATTGCAGTATTCAGAGTTAAATCTGGTAGATGGTTACTAATGTTTCGGAGTAACATTTTGCCTCCTTCATCAGGGTGAAAGTTATCTGAGGCAGTGTGTTGCTCCGAAATGTTGTATCCACGTACCGCCTTACAGCACGGCCACAATATGATTCGTCACCTTCGTGAAAACTTCATGTGTCACATTGCACACTTAATGTCGTCGTAAATTTAAGAGCGGTCTTTGAAATAGCCGTCTATACATTAAAGTCAAATTCGTTATGACAGTGTAGAAGGTTGCAGATTTTCTCTTCAAATTCTCTTTCCAAAGAAAAATAAATCGAAAATGATATTTTTTCAAAATTCAAATGGTTATCTAAATATTCTGACTTTTTAACATTTGCGAGCACCCGAGCAGGTTGTCGCAGCGGTAACGCTCCAGACTTGCATTCGGGAGGTCCCCGGGTCAAGTCTCGGAGAGGACACGAACTATTCTCACGTAGTCATTGTTTTCCTCTGTCTCTACAGGCAAATACTAGAGATGGTAAAGGTAAAGTAAAAAAGTGAAATTGTCCCTGTGCTTAACTAATTAAACGCTACACAATGAAGGCGTATGGGGGAGTTTGTGTATAAATCCACATTTTCTTGACCTCGACACTACTTGGAGGTGAGTAGTCAGCTTCACGCCCCGGCCGCTTAACCCCAGGGAAAGAGCCCCCTATATCCACTGGATAGGAGGTTGGGTGGACCCCAGAACCGGTCTGGACGACGTGGAGAAGAAAAAATTCTTGACCCTACCGGGAATCGAACTCCGACCTTTTGGTCGTCCAACCCGTAGCCAGTCGCTATACCTACTATGCTCTCTGATTAAATCAGGACCACTTCCTTCCACATCCTTTTCAATTCATTAATCATTCCGCCGTTCTACGCTATGTAATCTCCATTCTAAAAACATAACAGAACGGACAAAAAGAATGACATGATAACATCCGCTACCTATTACTAACAAATTGTTACGCTACGTTATGTTGTTTGCAGTTGTGAACAGGCTCTCGTTCTATACGTCGGCTCTTTGGATTGAAAAAGAGAAGAGAAAACGCAACAGGCAATTGACATGCCGAACAGACTTGTGGGAATTCCTATCTTCAGCTGGGTGTGTGCGGTTTAATTTGTTTGAGGAGCGTTTTACAGCTTGAGAGGACAAACGTCAGACTCATGCTCCCGTCCTGTGCGTGGCTTCTCTTCTGAACAGCTCCCAGATTAATCATGTAATAACTGGAATCATGAAATATTCCGAAAATGATTTCCTACGCTACACCTCAACCCATCCTGTCGACGTGTTAATGTAACACGAACGTTTCTAAGAAGTGTCTTCTCGTCTGTAAAATTGTTCGGTCTAAAAGCATATTTGACAATCCTTGATCGCCAGATGTGACGCAGATCGTGACGTCGTCCTGAGAAATTTACTGGCTTCCACTGAACGACTCGCTTTGAGGAGCTACAGAATTAATAGTTATATAAAAACCACGCGGTAGCGTAGTTGGTTGAGGCACTACGCTACAAGACAGAATGTCGCGAGTTCGATTCGCGATGAGGTCACTGGATACTTTTTAGTTGACCTAATGCTTCCAGGTGCACTATGGCCCAAGGGTCGACTCAGCCTCTAACAGAAATGAGTACCAGGAATCTTCCTGGAGGTAAAGGGCGGCCGGCGCATAAGGCTGACAACCTCACCGCCATCTGTGAGCCGATTGTTAGAGAATGTGGGAGCCTCAACATCTCACAACTCTATGGGCCTCCACAGCCCGTTATAGCTTTTTTTTATAAAAAGTTAAATATGTCCCTGTTCTTGAATAACTAAGCATTACGCCATGAAGACGTACGGGGGAGTGGATTTATAGATCCACGCATTCTTGACCTCAGCAGTAATTGGAGGTTAGTGGTCAGCTTCATGCCCCGGCCTCTGTACCCATTGGATAGGCGGCTGGGTGGACCCCGGACGCGGTCTGGACGATGTGGAGAGGACAAAAATATCGCCCCTACCGGGACTCGAACTCTGACCCCTCAGCCAACCAGCCCGTAGCCAGTCTCTACAGACATAAATAACAGCATTCAATGTTTGGGGCCCACCGAGCCTGCTATGCGGGGGGTACAGCGGCCGGGGAGTGAAACTGACAGCTTACTTCCACGTAATTCAGAGGATAAGAATACTTGGAGCTGTATCTCCAGACCCCCCTTACTTTCTTGTGACGTTTAGCTTAACGGTGACGTGTTTGTGTTACAGGAATTTGGACCAGAACTCGATAGAGACGATTGATCCTTCCACTTTCAAGGGACTTCGTGTTCTGAGGAACCTCCGATTGGACAGCAACAAACTGAGTGGCGTCCCGACGCAAGCCTTGGCGCCCCTGAGAGTGCTGGAAATACTGTGAGTGCTCCTTCGCTTTTCGAAACAAAGGCCACTCGAGGTCTGAGGTTCATAATTATCAGTGTTTCCTAGGAACCTGCTGTCTCCATCTTCAGGACAAATTGTTCTTCTACACTGAAGATGAAGGCTCCGAAAAGTTTGCAAATATCTACCAGAATACGCGACTTCACACCCCACAAGTCAGTAATATTCATCATCAGTGGTGTTTAGCGCATTTTCATTTGTTATTAAATTTCACGTCATTGTCATCATCATCATCATTATCTAAGTTCTAGTGTCAGGACAAGACCACTGCATATGAATCCTGAGATGGTTTGAGTCTGCCTCATCATGACTTTCGTGCTTTAGGTTTTCAATGGAAGTGCTGAAAACGAGGACTTACAATGCCATTAGAGGTATCAGTACCATAGTTTGAGAACCCTGCACTAGACTGAAATTGAAGGGTTATGCCTTCTTCGATGTGATACCGTGCACTTTGATAGACGTCTACCAGCGTTTCGAAGGAACGTACTACCTCCATTTTCAGGGTTACGTAATAAGTACAGGGTGTAGACAAGTAAACAGCGATAATATTGTGACGTATCGACCCATTGCTAGGCAACGGGTCGCTAAACACATTCCCGCGACAACGAATACTTCTATTTCTAAGCAACGGCGCGGTAAACATGCCTTCGCAACAGTAGAGGAAGAGGTGTTTTCTGTGGGACCGCCTCGAGGCTATTTAAGTAGTCCATTCGTAAATGAGGAGTCAGTTTGAGTGGAGAATTGGGTCGAGTTATGGAGGGTCGGCAGGTGCAGAGTGATTGAACAAGAAATGGCAAGAGGACTTCATAGTGGTTTGAAGTGATAGTTCCTGTGAAAAAACCGTTGCCAGGACACGGACACCGTGTCCTAGTGATGTGTGAAGTGGGTAGATTGTCGGTAGCGCTATAATTGATTGTAATTAAGAGTGATTGTAAAAGAAGGTGTCAGTAAATCCAGTCATCCAATCCGGAACCCGTTATTGTCAGTTACGGAACCCCGGACACATAGTACCATGATGATGGAAGCAATACGTTCCTCCGAAACACCGTTAAGTATATTTCAGATTACGTAATATCACACCCCAAAAGATAAAGCCTTGAAAATCGCCGCTGAGAGAGCCCCAAGAGAGTGAGGTTTGACTGTATTCGGTTTTTCTCTCTTCTGCAGGAACTTGGGAAACAACCTGCTGACGTCACTCCCGATGGCTGGCTTCCCCCATCTCCCGAACCTACTAATCTTGTAAGTACAGGCGTTCAACACGTCACAGACACACATGCAACGTCATATTGGCAGCTTGCGTCATGTTGCGTGGATAAATAGACACGCATGCACAACTTGCATTCTTTTCGCGTTATTTGTTAAATAAGGTCGCCATTTACAGGCCCTCTATTATCTGAGCATGCGCATTTGTTAATATTGCACTGCAGCATCCGTTGCACTGTGTATTTGCACTTCTCACCGTCCCTGTGCAATTTCAGAAGCATTCGTCTCTTTCTGTTATTCGAACACTACATGTTTCGGGCTCAACTGGCTGCCATCATCAGGTGTAAAAGTTGTAAAGGAAACTGCTGCCCCCTTTGCATTTTAAATGTGTGATCCACTTATAAAATATTTTAAAACTCTTTTTAATGTATCATGCCCTGATTATTTTGTTGTGTGTATATTTTGTTGGTGTGTTCTTTTCTTTTTGTGCTGTAAGTAGCTGTGGATTTTAATACATCAAAGAAGTTTCACAGGGACTAAGAAATGTGAGCGCATATTTAGCGTAAACTTATATTATTAACCTACCGAAACCCAGTGTTTTTTGTTTAATTGCTAGTGGGGTCCCTAAGTCCCTTGTACTGCGGCCACTTCTGGCCTATTGTACCAGCCCAAGATGATAGGTGAGGGTGATTGTGGAGCAACTGGTGGAACGAATATGGGCAGGGGAAACCGAAGTACTCGGAGAAAACCTGCCCCAGCGTCACTTTGTCCAGCACAAATCCCACTTGACCAGACCCGGGATCGAACCCGGGCCGCCGCGGTAGGAAGCCAGTGACTAACCGCTTGAGCTATGGCGCGGCCTAACCCAGTGGTTACTGTATGTACCACCTGCTTTAACACACTAAAACTCTGCATTCTGCCCACACAGTGTATTTACTAGGGTTGGAACTTTAATAGTGGTAACACTGCTGTAGAGACGCCATGCAACGGAACCAAATAATGTCGCTTATACCACATGTTAGTTACATACCTGCCTTACCTCAGAGCAAATGGACTCTCCCTTCCCACGCGCATGCGCAGTGACGAGAAGAACAGAGCCTCGTGTTAGCTGGCGGTCTAATGTAGTGTTGTCATGATGTTTTCGAAACAGGAACAACGGAGTTGAATAAAGATTGAATGTGCCAGAGGCCGTACAGCACGGCAGTGTCATCAAGGTCTTCAAGAGGCTTGCGGGGAATCTGCATTGCCTTACAGAACAGTGGCAAGGTGGTAAAAGCCTTCAACGAGGGAAGACAAAATGTGGCACACATTCGTCGGCCAGATCGTCCTAATGTCAGTGAAGAAGTTTATGCTCTTTCCGCGTTACTGGAGTGTGATCGACGCCATACATTTCGTGAGCTGGCCCGAGAGACAGGATTAGCGCATACGACTGTGCTTCACATTCTGAAGGAACGCCTGGGCGTGAGAAAAATTGCATCACGATGGGTTCCACATGATTTGACGGAAATGCAGAAATGGCTACGATACGACGCTGCTTGTAACCACTTGGAGCGCTATGAGCGCGAAGGAGAGGCTTCCTTACGCCGTATCATTACGCTGGATGAGACATGGTCCAAATCGCACGAGCCACAAATGAAAGGCCGATCGAACGAAAATCAAAAGTTCGTCAGAATGTGAAAGTTATGGTGATTGTCGTGTACGACTCTGATGGTGTTATCCTAACGCGTACCGTTCCCCGACAGCAGACCGTATTACTGTTCGTTTCTGGAACACAGCCTGCGACCAGCTTTGAGAAAGAAGCGGCGACACTTTCTGCAGAACCCACCCATCATTTTGCAGGACAATGCTCGGCCGCATGCAGCACAAGCTGTGGCTGATTTGTTCGGTCGATGGGGCTGGGAAGTGCTGTACCATCCACCATACTCCCCGGACTTAAGCCCTTGTGACTTCGACTTGATTCCTAAGATGAAGGAACCACTTCGTGGCATTCGCTTCAGAACTGTTCCAGAGATTCTTCAGGCAGTAGACGGCTCCATTCGAACTATCAACACAACAGGCGCTTCTAAAGGTTTCCTACGACTTCCACATCGCTGGCAACGGGTTGTACACAATGCTGGTGACTACACTGAAGGAGAGTAAAACTTCGAAAAATGCATCTATTTTGTATCAATTGTAAATAAATAGTTGCTACTACTAAAGTTCTAACTCTCATATGTGTTCCGTATGGTTCTCACAGTAAACAGCGGTTGGTAGTTGTCATGGAGACGCAACGCGTTGCCTGTGAGGTACAGACTGAATTTTTCAGTGTAATTTGGAAGAACTTGATTGTGCAGTAAACATTATTAGGGTGATCAAATCAAAAAGAATGAGATTGGCGAGACATGTAGAACGGATGGAAGCGTTCAGAAATGCATACAAAATCTTTATCGGAAAATCATGAAGAATAATATGGTTTTTAAACAATAGGATGTGAGTATGTGGACTGGATTCAACTGGCTCAGGACAAGGACCATTGGTTAGCTCTTGTGAACGCTGTAATGAAATTTCAGGTTCCTTAGAAGCCGGGGAATCTCTTTGAGTAGTTGAGCGACTGTTAGCTTCTCAAGAAAGACTCTGCCCAATGAACTTAGTATGCACACACTCTCATCTTGGTTGGGTGTGCGCATGCGTGCCCAAACAGCGGAGCAAGGCACGTATTTGCTTCCCTACTTGGAGTCTAAGCACTTGGACAAACATTCCAGGATACATACGGGCTTATCACTTCGTGGGCGAAGTTTTCTTGCAAGCATTCAGCCCTTCAGGTACAAGTGAATTGAATTTCGGTAAGGGCAAAAATCTTAAGGCCACCAGACTCAACTACTATATCAAAGAAGCAAGTTTCCTGATCCACTAAGTGCCGAAGTGTTATGTAAATATGATTTTTAAATAATTACTTTCAGTTGAAGTGATTAGAATACGGGCTGGGCATTGAGGAGTCCCGGAATTCGATTCTCGGCAGAGGAAAATAAATGTCTTCCTTATCCACGGTGTTCATACCGAACCTGAGGTCCACCCAGCCTCCTGTGGAATGGATTCCATGGACTCTTTCCTCGGAATAAAACGACCAGAGCGTTAAGCTGACAGCTTACCTCAGTCTCGTGCTAAAATTAAGAACGCGTGGAGCTATAGATCCACTCCTTCCATACGTTTTTACGATATGCTGCTAAATTAAGCAAAAAGATAACTTAATCTCTATTCTGTGTACACTTCTGTTTCTTACATTTGACATCTGCAAGATTCTGTCACGTGACTGAGTGACCACAGACGGGGCCTGGATTGGTAATTTGGTTTATTGAACGCTTACAGAACGTAACTACAGCACACTTAAAGTCTTTTCAGTCTTCATTAGCCGTTACCTGGTAGCGGCTTCCAACGGCGGACGATCTCCTTCCTCTGGATTCTCGAATTCTCTCCGGCCTCAGCTACCAGCTTCTCACTTCTCACAACTGCAACTCTCGACTGACTCAACTCTAAGTCAAAGTTATGTTACGTTACGACCGACGGTCAGTCGGCCAGTCTGTCTTGGTGTCAAGCCCCATCTGGGGCCCAATGGAACATGTTGAACTTTCCTCGTAAATCGTACATTACCGATGTGAACAGCAAAATTTGCAGGCGGATTCAGAGATTGAAGAATGCGATCGCTTGTCATTTGTAGCTTCACTCCCCGACCGCTTTACCTCGGAGGGAAAGAATCCTGGTACCCATTGGATAGGAGGCTGGGTTAGAGTTACGGCATTGACCCTACATTTTATTATAGTTGATGTTTTTTTAACGACGCTGTCAGTAACACAGACTACACAATGTTAAATGGTAACTGGACGCTAATTTCTTGGGAAGCCTGTAGTTGCTCAACTGTACTAAACACATTCAGAGCACTTTATGGAACCCAAAGGTTTATAACAGTATTCGTAAAGGCCTCTCACTTATACGTGTCCTGAGCCAGATGAATCCAATCCACATCCTGTCATCCCTTTAGTAGTAATTTATGATCGGATGATAGTGAATAATAAATTGGAAAGGATGTAACCGGAAGCTGACGTAGTATCCCGGTATTCTGGAGCATCTGAGAGAAACCATGAAACCCATAGGCAGGATAGTCGTTGGAACTCCATGATAACGATTCTTGTGGTCACCCACCGACTGATGGTTTCAGACCTAGAAGGGACAGTTTCGTGCGGGGGGGGGGGCAGGGAGGAAGGGAATAAGAAAAAGTAGATTGCGTATAGGATGAAGAACAGAAGAACGCAATAAGAGACGAAAGGAGAACAAGAAGATGCAGAGATGAGAAGAATGGTAGGTGAATAATAAAAATAAGTAGCACAGGATAAAGAGTAAGAAGTGAAAAAGATAATGGGGATAGGGTAGGAAGGAAATGAGCCCAAATAGTGACATAGCGGTAATATTTTAGATTCGTAATCGGGAGGTGCTGGGTTCGAATCTCGCTCGAGGCATAGGATGTCGTGACTGAATTAATTTTTGTGATTTTCCTCAGTCCCTCTAGGCAAATTTGTGGATTAGTGCCTCAAATTAGGCTATGACCGTGAGTTTTCCAGATCCTATCATTCGGCGCTAGGCATTCAGAGATTCTGACAGAGTCGTAATTTAAGAAGAAAGAAAGAAAAAGAGAGGACTATGAGAGGAAATGAGGATGAAGTTCAGAATACGAGGCACTTTTGTTGTTACGCCAATTCGATGTCCATATTTTGATAACATCGCTCCACAAAAACAGATTTGGGTCTCGAAATGTTAACGCTTTATCATTATTGGTTCAGAACGTGTTTACAGCGCTTAATAACTGTCATACGACTCTACATAATTATTTTGCATTAAGGTTTTCTTTATACGCGTTTTAATTATCCGCGGTTTTATGCGAGGTGCGTCATTTCCTATCCGTGACGTCGCTAGAAGCTGCCGCCGCGCATGTCCAGTGAGCTGCGTGCGCATTGCCCTTCTTTCGATTCCTACCCCCACTCCGCTGTGTGCAATGTTCGTTCAGT